AAGATGATCAAAAAAAATGTCCATCTCTTTCTTTCTCCTAGTAAATTAATGCTATCTATAGGAAAATGAATCTATAGTTAATTGATCAAAATGTATACTTTTGTGAAAAAAGAAAAATTCTATTATCTTATTGAAAAGATTATTTGACAAGTATAAATTTTCTGGTCATTTTATTCATTTTGAATAGATACTTTCATTTTACACTTTTATAAGTTTTGTTAGAAGTCAGGTGTGAATTCATGAAAAACTTATTACATTTCTAGAAAAAAATTTTGTCGTACTTTTTCAAGCGAATTAGGTATGAACGAAAAATAATTAGCTTTCACTAAGAAAAATGACCTATAAACACCTATAATATCGAGGAAATAACTAGCTAGAGACTATCATCTGATTATAACATTTTAAGTACATATTCTGCAAATAACTAGGAGACTACTACCCTAGCACAACGTCCAAGAAGTTCTTGTTTTTATTGAGTTTTCGTTGAGATGCCAAGTTTATATGAGACAAGGCCTTCTCGTATTTATCGCAAAAAAAGGATGATTTTAGACTAAAATTACAAAACAGTATTTTCTCTTGAAAATTTGATATCTCAATGAAAAAAGAACTCATTTAACATTGTAATAGAATAGTAATGTCTTCTAGTTACTTCCAAAATATGAGCTCAAAATCTAGTAATCAAGTGATGGACCCTAATTAAATATTTCCTCAACAACCGGCTGAGTTCTCAACGTTAAAGGTATTGATAGGTCATTGTTATCTGCCAAAGCTATTTTCTGTTTACATCTAATATTCTAATTGTCCAAAAAGTTCATCTAACTCATATTCTTCGAAAACATACGCTAACAAGTACTGCATTTATTCAATGTAATCGTCTTCACTAGCAACTACACGTTGTGAACGATCACGCAAATTGCTTATGCAATGAGAAATATTGAATTAATGCAGCACTTGTTATCATATGATTTATATAGAATACGAATTGCACCGACTTTTCAGACAATTAGATACGCTTGGAAAAGTGCGACAAAGTTTTTATTCAGAAATATATCAGATTTTCTGTGCAATTACTTCTGACTATTTAAAACAAAAAAGACTGTAAAAGTGTAAGATGAAAAAATTTCTACATCTCGATTCATTAACTATATATATAAGCTTATTATCGATAACATTAGTTTACTCAAGTGGATTGAAATTTTTGGACGATCATTTAACACTAAGAAAAATCTCATGAAATTATTTCAATATAAAAATAGAAATACGAACTTATTTTAAATCTGTTTTGTTCAGTACTCATTTGATATAATATTTATATCTACAATTTTGAGCTTTTGACGTCAGAGCTATATTTATAGAATCTTAAGAGGTTATAGTTAAGAAAATATAAGACAATAATTTTTTTTTTCTGAAGAGAATATTTGAAGATGAAGGTGTGTTTAACCACGCCTATCGATATTAAAATACGCCTGTAATAAAGATTTTCCGAAAATTATCTGATCAAAAGACTGTTTCGCCAATGGTTTCCTTCTCAATCTTTGAAGGAACACGAATATCTATAAAAAAAAAACTGACACTGATGTAGTTGGAACTGCAATCAGAGTTGAAACCGAAACAGCCACTCCTACTAACATCAAACTAAGTATTCAAAAATGATCAGAAGTTATGAACTAATAGATTATGAAAGAGAATTACTTTAAACTTCATGCTGATTACACTTTTACTAGTGCAGACTATTCTCACTTATGTCCGTACACAGTGAAGTATTTTGAATCTAGGGTAAGCTCAACAATCTTTATAAGATTTTCATCCGAAAGTTAAGAATACGAAAGAGAAGAAAGGCGGATGTGGATGTTACTAAAGAAAACACTCATACTTAACATTTAGTAATACAAAATTCAATATTTCCTCAAGCATATTTTCTAAATCTGCTTCATCACTATGAAAATATTACTATGCCCTGCTGAAGAGTATGAAAAATATTTTTCATATTCGTAGAAGAATTTCAATGAATTAAATCAATTTATCAATCTTATAGAATGAAAAACAAATGCTTAAACATATGATAACTTAATATAGAGTAGACTTCAGTCTATCTATCTCTTGTGATATCGCCGTCTATATTTATATCTAATTACAATTGATTATGATGATTAACATAATACTTTCTTTTTTCTCTGCTATTCTTAACTTCATAGCAGTTACATTCAAACGATATTTTATTAGATATCTTACTGAATTAAAAAATCAAATTCAATACAAAGTATACATAACTATTATCTTAAAGAAATAGTTACAATTGGAAAAACTGAGAGTATATAAGAAGAGAGAAGTAAACAAGCAAAATTAATAAGATTTTATTTGAACAATTCCATATAAGATGTCTAACATTTTATCAATTAACTAAGGTGAATATCTCTGACTTATTTTAAAATATTGTAATAATCATATTTTCTCGACATACAACCAGTGGCGTAGCCAGGAATTTTCTAAGGAAGGTGCCCGACTTATTATGGAGGGTGCACACCAGCAGCAAAATAAATTTTTGTTGCTCGGAAAGATTTTTCACCCGTACCCCCTTCCAGATGTTTCCTGACCAAGGGGTGTGCCCGGGCACCCTGTGCACACCCCCTGGCTACGCCCCTGCATACAACATTAAAGATATTCTATATATCGATCAAAATATTTAACTTATAAGAAAGACATACAGAAAAGTCGTTTAAAAAAAATTCTTCTCATATAAACACTATTCCAGCTTGTCGAAATATAGTAATTTTGTTTTACCGATGAATATATATTACATGATTACATTGTATTTCCATTTAGTGAATAGCTAATTGTTTAACTGGTTTATAGAATGTTGATCACTAACTATTATTATATTAAATATAAATGTGGTTTCCTTAAAGAATAAATGTATATTATCATCTTTTTATATATTATTTTTTTCTTCATCTCATAGTTTTAGATGGATGATCATTGTCTTCTTCGAATGACTGATTTCCCAACAGTAGACAGAATATGTCTCTTAAGCGCACTTCTTTTTTTTTCTTGTTTCGATTAATTCTAATAGTGATCATTGATGCACAAATACATCCTATTTGTAATACGTTCTTCCGGGACACTTGCGAGAATATTATTCCAAGTCATTCAGAGCTTTTGTGTTGATAGTTTTCTCTTTTGTAGGACCCAGTGACACTAAAATAAGTCTAAGAAGACCAACTTCCATAGATTTTTCTTTCCAAGTTAGGACAGTTTGACTAGTTTTATTGCTATTGATAAGATATTTACCGACAACACGCAGTACAAAATTTTGATCTGAAGCGTCTCACACATATTGATCTCATGACCCTTACACAATGACCTAAAATATTACAATCAAAATGAATGTTTCTTGATCTAGATATTGGATTTTTCGAGACATATTCTCATAGTATCACAAGTCAGGAAACATTGACTTTTCTTGAAAACCTAACTTCTCGAGAGAGAAACATTCGTTTTGATTGTAAAAATTTAGGTCACCACAAAAGTCATGATATCTATGTGTGAGGAAAATTTCAAATCTGAATTCTACACTTCGAGTTTTCCGTAAATCTCTTGTTATAAGTGATAAACCTGTTAAAACGGTCATAACTAAGGAAAAAACACCTATCAACCCTTTTCCTATTAGATTTTTCTCAGTCTCACTAGATTTTAATTATGTGAAAAAGATCAATGTAAAAGTTATGAACTATTAGAAACAGTTTGCTCGTTAAAGGAAATTTTCATTATTATTTTTATTATAAAGAGTTTTATTTCAATGGATTGACTTGATGAGTTCTAATCACTTATATTTCGTAAAAGTCTTCTAGCACATACTACAGAAAAAAAAATGAAAAGGAAAGAAAATAAATTAAAAACATGAGAGGAAAACAGCAATTATAAGGATCAGAAAATAATATCAAGATGAGTAAGAAAAAACAACAGTGTCTTCTGGTTGAGTGAATCGATTCGATGAATCTTCATTAACGAATTACAATAATTTGTCAAAGAAAGTAGAAGAGTCTTGAGTGTTGATGTGTTTCGTTGACAATTGTTTGCCTTAGTTTTTTTTACTTTAAATCAATTCAGTAGTGACTCGTAATATGATTGCAACGTCTCTCAATCAATTTGTCAAGTCACATTCGTACTTATAGAAGAATGGTCAAGTTTTTGTTGATCTCGTAAAGTAGTGTTGATGTGAGTCGAAACATCGTTCGAAATGTGTTGGATATATTTCAAGAAAAAATACAATTATAAAATTTTAACTACACAACGGAATATATGTAGACTCAAAGAGATAGACTTTCTCAATCTAACGGCGTATGTATTATCAGGTTCTACTGCATATCGTTGATACGTCAATAGTATACAGTAGAATCTGATAAAACATACACCCCTGGATCTGTTGATATTCGATGGGAATCCACAAGAAGGACGTCGTTTCCAGCTCCATCCGGTCATTGAATCCAATCACGAGATTTCTGCTTCTAAGTTCCTATAATTTTCCCGAGTTCTTCAGCCGGAACTAGCCATATCTCATTCGCCTGTACCATTAGGCGAAGAGGAAGTATATGTCTACAAGTCTATATATATTCTGTACTATAGTAAAAAAATCATCGAAAAACGTATAGTTGCCTTCGCATGAAATCAACAAAATGAGATGTTTGACATTTGATAATTCTTGAACACTGCTTTGAAATATTTCTAATATGCCTAACAATCAACTGATGAAACGATTCTAAGTATTAATTATTCTAAATACACATCTTTTCTGCTTTATTCAAAAAATGTAGATATTTCTTTTCCGTTAAAGAGCACCCTCTTTCGTTAATAATTCTATCGGTTACTGTCTTCAAACCAAGAATTACCCATTAATTGCTTAATATGTCGTCATCTTCAATTTTCATATTTAATATTTTGTAATTTTTTTCGAATAAAAGTCAATTGTAAAAAAAAGATTAAAAACTTTCATTTATCTAGATATGGATTATTCGAATCGAATATTATGTGGTCCTATGGTTAGAATATCCAGTCTTCCATTCCGACTTTTAGCACTGGAATATGGTGCTGATATTGTTTTTTCTGAAGAATTAATTGATTATCGTCTTATACAATGTGTTCGAGTTGAAAATGGTATTTAATTATTACTATTTTTATTATGAATTCATTTTTTGTTTTGTACTAATTTAGATTTATTAAATACCATTGATTTTATTGTACCAGGTGGTGACCGACCGATGTTACAAATACATAAAAATCGAGAAAAAAATCGTCTTATTGTTCAATTGGGTACAGCAGATGCTCAACGAGCTTTAAATGCTGCTCGACTTATAGAAAATGACATTGCCGGTATTGATGTAAATATGGGTTGTCCAAAAAAATTTTCTATTCAAGGTGGAATGGGTTCAGCATTACTTGATCATCCAGATAAAGTCAAACAAGTATAAGCATAAAATATTGTATCATTTTTTTCTTCTAATAAATTAATTTATAAACTTTTCAGATACTCGAAACTTTAGTAAACAATTTATCAATACCTGTTTCATGTAAAATTCGTTGTTTACCAACTCTAGGTAAATGAAATCATATTTATTTTAAGCAAAAATCATATGTTCATAGATAGAAGCGACATTATCAATTATACGTATAATTGCAACAACCGGTGTACATGCAATAACTGTACATGGTCGAACACGAGATGAACGTAATAATGATCAATGTCGAGAAACATTTATTCAATCCATTGTTCAACAATGTCCATCAAATGTTGTTATTATTGCAAAGTAAGATTTAATGGATACGACAGAATAAAAAATTGTCTCAATATTTCTACCATAATCTTATTATTTCGAAGTGAAAGCTTTTTCTTTTTGCCAAATGATACATTATAAATTTGTCTACAAAACTGTTGATTGAAAAAATAGAACTAAAAAATTCATTTAATTATGTATTGCTCACCATTGTCAAGCGACAAAATTGTTTATTTTATCTCAACAAGAATAGTTTCTTGTGAGATTTTGCAGGTCTTCTGATTTTCTTCTTTTAATGAAATGAGAACATCAAATCTGCTGGTATATATCAAAAGTGTTATGGACACGTTTGTTACCATAGTTATATCTTAGGGTAGAACTAGTGGCAACATCTGAAACATTCACCATAAACTATTCTTATTAAGTTCTATTTTTATGAAAAGCTTCAAGTCAAAATTTGAAAATAAGTGTTTGCGGAGGAATAACAGCATCAACTTAGAAAATATTATACAGATGCAATATTTCGGCAGTCATAAGTAAAGGACCCGAGCTCTTCTTAGGGTATTCGTAGCTCATTGGGATTTACACAATGCATATAGTCTCGCCTCAAAAGTGATTAATCAATGGAGGGACCTCCCTCGAAAGCTCCCACTCTTTGAGATACAAATCCTGGTGCTGCTGCTAACTTAAATACCTTTTTCGCCTTGATCAGGTTTAAATAAGAGTTTGCTAATGACCGACTCTAAATGCGCACCGGCACCAATATTCATTGAAGTATCAGAACACACTACTACAAAAAAATGCATATTTTGGTAGAGCTAGTGTCTCTATATTGTAGTGAACACGGATTTCAATGTAATCAGTACTCCAATGGATAATGTGTCGGTAACTCACTGTGCAGTATTTACGTTAACACTTCAATTCCACAATTGAAAGTCACAAGTGAGAATCTGGTTAACGTGAGTCTTTATATCCAGATAATAGATCTCTTTTCAATAGTTGTTAAAATGATTTTATTGTTTGTATAAGACAATAGTTCATGATGCCTGAAATATAGCATTTTAGCAATTGTTTCTTAGTCAAAAGAAAAAACAAAATAATGTTGCAAAGTCATAATTGAAAGCTATTAGCAATACATAATCGCAGTAAAATTTCTATGATTTTATAAACAATTTCATGGTACATCGTTTGGAAAAAAGTGCCACTTAAACATCAGAAGAATATTTTGAAGTTTATTCAATCTGATGTAACCACTAGAATAAATTTTATTTCTAAGAAACAAAATAACCAAGAATTTTTTTTTTGTTCAGTGGAGGATCAACAAACATTTCATCATATTCAGATATTGAAAAATTTCGATCTCGATGTGGTCCAACTCATGGTGTTATGATATGTCAAGCTGCTATGTGGAATCCAAGTATATTTCGACCGAATGGTTTATTACCACTTCAAGATATTGCCAAACGATTTCTTGAAATAGTATCGTCTTGTCGTTTTATTTTTCAAATTAATAAATATTTCTTCTAGAGTCTTGAGTATGATAATATGCTTCCGAATATAAAATATGTTCTTCAACGAATGTATGGTGCTATTGATAGTGAAAATCAATTATATGAAAAAATTTTATCAACAGAAACTGAAGCTCAAATTTAGTAAGGAGTTTGATTTTTTTTTTTTTTTTTTTCGAAATTTATAGTTTTTGTCTTTGTTTTTTTAATATATGAATGATTAGTGCGTTATTTAATATGAAAAATGAATATGAACAATCACCAATAGAAGAACGACAATTATGGCGTGACAAACTTCTAAATCGATTTGTGAATATTTCTAATCAACAATCAGAAAATAATATTATTGAAAAGCCAGCAAAATTTATTCGGTAAGAATTTAATAAATATTATATAAGATTGATTTTGGAAAAAAAGAGAATGTTTTTGTTTCGATTCGAACCTGTTATGCATAATTAATATTATTTAAAATCAGGGAAATTTGAAATTTTCAAGGCTAGTAGATATAAAAGTCATGATGGCGGATGCTGTATTCTATGAGATACTAGAACTCCAATGGCGAACAATGGTTTCTTTGAGATAAGAAAATGTTCATAGGCACTACTATTTCATTTTACATTAAATAACTTCTGATAGAAACATCATAGAGATGTGTAGTTTTCATTTAGCTAATTGATTTGTGATCGTTCGGATAAGCAACTTAGTATAGAAGTAATTCACTATGCTGAGACAATGGGCGGCATTTGTTACTAGATTCGAAATAGTTTGACGCTATTATCTTAATATTTCTGAAATAGTGTCAAATCAGTTCGAACCTAAAACCAAATACAAGTCAATTAACTGAACTCTTAAGTTCTTATGATAAAAAAAAATCCAAGAGTTCTGTTATTTTTCCATATAACAAAATTTTCATGTTAAAAACATTTTTTTTTTAAAACTCATTATCATTATATTGTCTTTTATAGATCAGACTATACATCTACAATGACACCAAAATCAATATTGAATGGATACAGTATTCAAGCAAACATTGATAAACCTGTCTATCATACTGTAAATTTATAATATATATATATATACGTAACTAAATATTAACTGTTTGATATTTATATATATAGGAAGAATTAAAACCTCAACGAATCTTTCGATCAGTACTTGATTTCAATGGGCAACATTATACAACAACAACTTGGTATGTATACAATTTGATGATTGTAATTTAATATTTGAATATATGTATTATTTTTAGGGAAAAAAGTAAACAGCTAGCTGAACAAGGCAGTGCTATTGTTTGTTTACAGTCTATTGGTATCGATCCAATACGTGCTAAATATGGCATGAATTATATAAAAGCTTGTCTTTCTACCGAAAATAAATTATAATCACAAATTTTTCTAAAAGTTATTTGAAATTTTATTGTCTTAAAATGAACAGTTTTACGATAATAGAAGATAATACATAGTACTGCTCAAAATTAGAACAACGACAGTTTTTCTTTTTTTTGTTGACATAGTTTTGTGATATACGATACCTAACATAAATCCAAATAGTGATTTGAATAGGTAATAGATTTCTCTATAAGCTGCAATTTACATTGATTATTTCAAGCAAAATGCCACATAGCTACTAACCATCTATTTACAGGGTTTAGTTTTCTGAATAAGTTGTTTTAGTAAAGAAATATATAATAATGTTACTAATAGTTTCAACTAAATATTAATTAAAAAGCAATTCGCGAATATTTTTTCTAATTATATGAGAAAAAAATTCAAGTAGGCTTTATGGCACGAACCGCATCTATGATGAAAATTCCAGTAAGATGAAACTTCAAAAAAAAACTCTTAAAAATCAGTTTTCTAGGGATTTTGAAGAACGCTGAATTTTTTATGATAACTCTTTTGAACAAAAGTTTCTAGCGCTTATTTTTAAGGATATGTAAAATAACTTAATATATAAAAACTAGCTTGAGGAAAGTTCGTTTTCTCGAAATACATGTTCATATCACTAATAATTAATTTAAAATCTTGAAGTAAAATTCTTTCTTTTCATTTAATAAATCAACGTCAATAATAAGAATGATTTCTTTATAATTTCAAATTTTAATTGATTTTATTTTAAAATAATGAAAATTCCTACATAGATTTATTTTCCTAATAAAATAACAAATGGAAAGAAAATTTCTTTTTTCATGTCGACAATAACATAAATACAATAAGAATAAAATAATAAAACCAATAATCAATAAAATACGATAGAGAATTTCTGGATAAGAATTTCGCCATGCATGATAGATACGTAGGAGCATTTTCGCATCTCGTCCATGCCATGAATTACCCGGTGTATGCCAAGTATATATAGATGAATAGACAATTTCATCAATAATACGTATTGTTGCTTGATAATATGATGTATCAAAATAAAATTCATTTATTGAAAGATATGATGGTCCTGCACTAACCATAACTGTAAGATAATTAATTAAATAATTATGATTAAAAAGTGGAAGACGTGATATAAGAATTTTAAATAATGGATGACCTTTTGTTGTTATCATAAAACCATTTGAAATACCAATTGGACTTGTACGAGGAAAAGCAGCAAGATGATTCGAATGTGGATCAAGTGCTTCTAATACATATAATAAACTATCAAATGATTGTCTACATCCATTATCCATATCAATATAAATACCACCAAAACGATATAATATAAAATAACGAAATGCATCAACACGTTGAATATCAAGTGAATATTTAAGAAATGTATGTTCATAGAAATAAGAATATTCTTGACGAAGAAATTTATGCATATCATTATCTGTCCATAAACGATATTCAAATTTATTATCATTATATTGATGAATCGATTGAACAGTTGCATTCCAATTTATTGGTATATGATGTGTTTTCCATGTTTGATGAATAATTCGTGGAATACGCTGGTGTATTGTATGATTTAAAGAATTTTCACTTATTAATTCATTAATATTCGATTCAGTAAGAAAAACTCGTAATGAACGACGATGAAAGATAATAATATAAATAAGAAAAAGAAATATTCCTCCAAAGAAAATTCTACGGAAAAAAAATTTCCATTTCATTGAAAATCTTTATCTATATATATCCTATTGCTTTATTGAAAGTACTTTAGTTTCCATGTCAACATAAATTAATCTAAAGCAGACGAGAGAAAAAAAAAAGAAACTAAATAGTTCTTGAAAAGAAGAAAATATAAGAAAAGTTTTCTTTGTTGTAATAAGTATCTTTATCTTATCTTGATTATTGATTTAGTCACGTTACTTTTCAAATTTTACATAGGATATATTCTCACTCGCGAATTATAATACTAAGAATCAACTAGTTGCACAAGCTCATATACTTCTTTTATTATATGTTAGAGTCAATGTTATTTATAAATTACTTCTTTTTTTCTTCTTCTTTCTGTCAACATACCGAGCTCTAGTTGAATAAATATATTGAACTTTTCCATGAGGGCAGACAGGAAACCAAAAAAAAAAAGAACTGCCTTCTTTTACGTGTAAAAAATGAGTACATACTTGAATATATAAAGAAAAAAAAGAATTTTTGCTTGTAAACAAAAGGATGTCATAATGTAGGTGATTTTTTTTACATATAAAAGTGTAATTTTGTTTTGAGTGTTACCTATCGGACTATATAATTGTGTTAGTTTGACTTATGCAGGTAAGTCATTTTTGTGAGAACAAAGTTTACTACCATCTATACTGTGTAGAAGTATGAATACATATCAAAATGATTTGTAACAGTGAAATCTGTTTGTATAGAAAAGCATTGTTTTATTTGAAATTTTCGTTATATTGACAATATACTTATGTAGCGGAGTCTTGAGACTTGGACTGAGATTGATAGTTTTATGCAATGAAGAAGAACTCTACAGGAAGTTCAAATTCGATATACTAGAAACTTTTGCAAGTTTTTTTTTGCTTTCAACAGCTAAATTTACAAAGAATAATGAGCTATGAGTACTTGGAAAAAAATTCGAACTAATAGCTTGATTATTACCGAGATACTATATTTTTTAGGAGGATATTGTGATTTCTCTCAGGAAAATTGAGTTTCAAATTTTGACTTAAGACTATGAAAAAAGATGATACGTTGTAATCATAATAGTTTGTTGTAACAGTTTCAGATGTTTTGATTGCTTCTATTTTTCCTCCTTATTCTTAACTTCCCGATGGAAATCTTATAAAAATTGTTGAGCCTACCCTTGATTCAAAATGTTCCGTCACCTATGGCAATATATTCCATTGATTATAAACAACTACATTAATCATCATAAATTTCAAATAAA